CCGCCCAAAAAAAAGTTTTTACCTGAAAAAAGAGTGAGTAAAATAAGCTGGAATAGGTTGCTGGGATACCCATATTTTTCAAGTGGGAAATTGAAGTTTCTATTACATTTTAATACCCACTCTAAGAAGTGCTTCACTCAACAGCAAGCTCTGCACGAAATAATCTGTAGCGCTTGCTATAACGAGCACCTGCCAAGGCTGATCTTAATCTAGTTCTGCACTGCAGAGACATGCTGCCCCAGGGAGCTGCATCTGGAGCTCACCTTCCTCTCGGGGGCAGTCAGTTTTCCTCATCTTGGTGAAAAGTGGCACCTGCTCAGGATTCTCAAACATGCCACACTGGGTTGAGATTTAGATTCTAGCCTTGGAAATAATTCTAGGCTTTGTGGTTCCCTCAGAACAGCAGGTCAGCACGCTTCATGCTGCCAGTGACAAGGAGCCATCAGATGGCAAATCCCACAGACAGGAGCTTCCACTGTGACTCTGAATAGGAGTCAGGCCTGGATTCAGCTTAGACGGAAGCTCACGGGGACCAGCTACCTGATTTCTTTCAGGTCTGAGGTCTTCTGCCTCACCACAGGCTTCTGGGTCCCAATGAGGGCCACTTTTTGTGCCTCTGGGGAGGTCAGGGTGGGGGCACACTACAGAGAAGGCCCTCCTAACCAATTAATCAGTTTTGTTATAAAGGATCCTTACATTACACTAATACCAACTTTTTTGAGAATTTGTCTCTTATCTATTCTATTTCAGTTTTCCTGTCTATAAAAACATGACAGATTTTAAGCCTCAGAAAGCCAAACCTTTGTTAAGGTCTTTAAGATCCTCCCATGGGAAACGAGAGAATAATGCTTTCCACTTCTGATTGGAAGAATAAGGATTACAATATTCTGCGACCAAGATCAGTCAAGCTTGGCTTTGGCTAGCTCTGCCATTGTTTATAATGACACTCAACTATGACTTCTTCCTTTCTTTCCATCTTATGAGTTCTGGGCTTCTTACTCCAAACACATACACATGCTCACAAGTATATAAAACACAAATGGAGCTAGCTTCTTTCAAAAGCAGTGGCATTTTGAAAAATAAATATAAATGTATTCTTCTGGGATTGTTACTGTAAGTGCTGCCAAAACTCATCTTTGGTATGTATGTTTGGGATATGTGTGCTATTGGCTGTAAATTGTCTTTTATTATTCTGTAGCACCTTGTCCAGGGACACACTATAAAACAAGATGTAGCATCTTCATGTGCTAGCCTGATAAAATTTATATGAAGTATAATAGAAAACAGAAGTTGTTCTGAGCTGTTTTCAAGTTCAATAAATAACTGTAATACTCGGATAAAGATGTTCTTTATTAGGTCACATGGGCCCTAATATATAAGTTATAAGTTACCGATTTAGGGTTGCTTTTGCAATTACAAGTTTCCAGTTGGATTGTTAATCATTGTGAACAGAAATATTTCTAAACCCTCCTGTGTACCTCCTGCTCGTTGTCTGGTTGTCTAGAGGGCTTTTGATTCTGATTCAGTGCAGGCAAGTGACATGGGGGTGGGTGTTCCCCACTCAGGCCCCCATCAGGTCTCTTGTGATGACAAGAATCCATTTCCAGTAGCAAATGTAACAACCAAAGACCATCCTTCATGGAAAGTTTGTTATGGAGATGCTGTGCAGAATGAGAGACTGTAACACATCCCAGTCCTAACCCCAAGGAATGAGGCTGAGTAAGTTAAGATTGAATCACATTTTTCAAGAGTAAGAGCTCTCCCTATACCTTGCAGCTTGCTTTCTCTCTTGCTTGCTTGCTTATGCACTTCCTCCTTCTCTATACTTCACTCACATCTTATCTGGTACCACATTATTAGTACTCCATAGAAAACCACATCTCTATTCCAGCAAGGCCAAGACTCATTAAAACAGTTACTGAATGTCTCCAAGTTCTACTACCCTTTCAGACCATTTCTCTCCTCCAGCAAAGAGACACTCTAGAGTGAACTGAGAAATTTCCTTTGGCAGCCAAAGAAATCTGTGTAGGTGCTAGGCTGTTGAGTTTAAATGATAATCCCGTGGTGGAGCATTTCAGAATGGAATTGATTCTGCGAGTGGTTTCACATCATATTTACAGAGTACCAAATCCTCCCTCTCTCCCTCCTTATCTGTCTCTTCTAGATTTTTACTAGGAAATTTTTGAGAACCAGGTTGGAAGGGTGTCATGGAATCAAGATGATCTACAGGCTTTGAAATCCTGAACAGTTTTTTAAATTAATGTAGCCTTAAGATTAAATATATACTTATGATATTGATCACCTATTTCACCAAGATTAAGTACTACTGGAAAATTTTCCCTGTCCCATTGTTCCTTTCTAATGAAAAGGAAAGTTAAGGGCTAGTTTAACCACCTCCCTACCCTTGACACATATTTTTCATCATCCTCATAACACACTACATACTCCCCCATCCACAGTGCTACAGCCTGCTATAGTTCACTGACATCTTATCTGGAACCATATTGTTAGTGCTGCATAGAAAACCACATCTCTATACCAGCAAGGCCAAGACTCATTAAAACAGTTACTGAACTTCTCTAAACTCAACACTCACAAACTGCTAGGTGTTGAGTTTAAATGATAATCCTGTGGTGGAGCATTTCAGAAAAGGATTGGTTCTTCGAGTGGTTTCCCACCATGTTTACATAAAGTCCGAAATCCATAGAATCCCACATTTAACCCCTAGAAAAGTCAGATTCCTCTTGCTTTCTGTATTTTTTTCCAGTTTCTTTTCAATGTTTTGATGAAGAATTGGAAAATAAATGATTAGCTGTAGTATTGACACACATTGGGTTCTTATGTGTCTCATTTTTTTATCAGGCTAGGAGGAATACCTGTGGGAGTAGTTGCTGTTGAAACCCGAACAGTTGAGCTAAGTATCCCAGCTGATCCTGCAAACCTGGATTCTGAAGCCAAGGTAGGTTACCTCAAGTATACTGTGTGCCTGTGCTTGGTTGGAGCTGTGTTTCCCTTCTGCAGAGCCTGGGGGATATATGGGGAGCATTGCAAGTCAACAGTTTTAGAGGGAAGGGCAGTCAGCATCCGAATGATTTCAGACCATCATGTGCTCACTTTTAGGATGACACACATGAGGTCGCCATGAGTTGGAATCGACTCAGTGGCAACTTTTTTATTTTAAAGATGGATTGCAATCTAAATCTTGGCCGTAAAAAAACCTTTACAGTGGCCTGGTAGATGCTAGACAACAGTCTACTCCTGTTGGGGGTAGTTTTAGAGAAAGACAGCTGAGGCGGTGCCGAGGGTTTTTTGGACCCAGAGTTTGGAAGCACCCGCTTAGAAGAGCTACAAGTAGAATTAATGAAGTCTGTCCTAACTCCAAGTGCAAACCATAGTCCATCTTTTTTTAGAGGGTGGATTAGGTTTTCACATCCTGACAAAAGATCCAGAAAATGTAGCAGTGGGAGAGGGTTGGGGAGGAAGTTTTTCAGCAGTGTCACATCAAGTGTCTACTGATTAACTACAGTATTAAAAAAACTATACAAGGCACGAGGTGAGAAGACTTTGGAAAAAGAACACACTTGGAGACTATACATTTGGCTTGCTTTGAGGAGTAGTGTAATCGAGTCATTAAAAGTTACTTTTGGGAAGCCTAGAATGAGGATTTCTAGGACTGCATTCTTCCATCATAAGCAGTAAGGTTTCCCCTTTTTAACTAAAGAATGGTGGTGTAATCAGGACTTTAAAAAGAAATATTTGACAAGGTCAAAGATCAGGATCCTTTCTTTTTACTTCAAAGACGACCTTCATGAATAACGATTTTTGTTTGTTGGGTTTGGTTTTGAATTTTTAATCAGTAAAACCTTGTTCACCCTGGAGAGATTCCTCCTAAGACTATGTTGTTAATTGTCTTCCTCTGACTTTCTCCAATAGATAATCCAGCAGGCCGGCCAGGTTTGGTTCCCAGACTCTGCATTTAAGACTTATCAGGCTGTGAAAGACTTCAACCGTGAAGGGCTGCCTCTGATGGTCTTTGCCAACTGGAGAGGCTTCTCTGGTGGGATGAAAGGTGATTGACCAGCTCTGTGCTAGACAGGCCTTACTGACTTCAGGGCACTTTGTGGCAGAGGGCGAGGGAGGCACAGGGACTTAGACTTGGGCAGAGCCTATGGGTATCCTGACAACCCATCACCCTAGGCTTCTTAGAGATTATGCTCCCTCTGAGATGCCTTCTGAGTTGCAACTTGAATGGGAAAATTCAGTGTTTTACAGTTCCATACAAAATTTCAGAACAATCTGCTGTGTTACCTAGGTTGGCTGCTGTTGTAGATTTAGCTTTCATGGGTGGATGATAGACCTTTCTGATGGTGCTAGGAAAATGGGATTGTGCTTGTCTCTGTCTCTCTTTTCTGGGCATACTATTTGTTGATATTACTCTTTAACATTCTATAATGACCAAGATAGCTACTGAAATTAGCATTTACTGGGTAAAAAATGAACAAATTCTGCACCAGAGGCTGTTCTTAGTGGCAATTTGTGATATGTTTTATTATTATCCAACAACAGCCCTGGGCTTGTGGCTCCAGCATATTAGACCATTATTATAAAGGCTCTGCTCTGTGCTGTGGGAATTTCTTAGTGATTAGGCAGCCAGTACCACCATTTACTGAGAATCCTCCATACGCAGAGCCACTGTGGGCAGTACAGGGAGAGCCAAAGGAAACACACTACCTCTTACAGCAGTGAAGCTCTTTTTCCAATGACCAGATTTCATGGCCTTGCTGAGGCCAGAGACTACATCCCAAGAGAGTATTAGAGTATGCAGATGAGTGTAAACCTCGTTCATCTAGGAAGAACTCTTAATTCTGAAGTAGTAGCAAAACTCGTTCATCTAGGAAGAACTCTTAATTCTGAAGTAGTAGCATGGGTTATGGAATGGAATAGGGGCGGAGGGGGCGGGCAACGTTGATACTGCTGGAGTAGAAAGACTGATCAGAGAATGCTGAGGGCATATATAATGAACTCTCAATAGAGCATCCAGAAATAGCTTGGGGTGGAGCCTCTCTAGCCTCTGCAAGAAGAAAAGCCTGGGGAAGCTCCTCTTTTATAACTATGTGTGGAGAGATATTAGAGACTTATTCCACCAACTTTCCCTTACCTGAATAGGAAGAGCCCTGTGTAGCCAGGGCTCCCTGGCAAAATGTAGAAGACTAGTGTGGTTTTTTTTAGTTGAAAAGTTCCCTTTAGCCCATATTTGCTGGAGAACTACCACATTTTTCACTTTTCTTGGGAGAGACTTGGCCTATACGTGCAAATTAATGTTGGCATGTTTTTTTAGATTACCAAGGTGAATTATTTTTTGACCAAGATAATAAATCAATGAAAATACCAAGAGAAATTGAGAGTATAGGTTAAGCAAGGCAGTCCTACCCATACTTACTGAGTTCCTATGTTCAAGGAACTATGCTAGCCACTTCAGAAAAAACAAAAATAAATCAGCAACAGATACTGCCTCAAGGAGTTAAGGAAAATGCCTTGGGCAGAGTGATAAAGCCATAATATATAAAGTATAAAAAAATACTAGGGGGTTCAAAAGAGGATGACACGGTATAGAAGTCTGTGGACTGGTGAAACCCCTTCCATTCATATATATGAGGTTCATCTAGCATCAGATTGCACTTGATCCCAAATTCCCTAGCTGTACAATCCACATTAAGACGTGGGAAAGAATACAGTGATATTACTCTTTAGTTACCTCTCTGCTGGGGAGCCATTGACATTACTTAAGGAGTGAGTCAGCCTGTCTATTTTATCCTTACTGGAGTTCAGAGTTCAAAATTTCTGATGTGTAGCTTCTAGGAAAAGCTTTAATTCTGCTATGTATTTTGGCTCAGGCCCAGACTGGCTACTAGCCCTATAACAACAAGAACAACAATTAAGATTCGTTGAGCTCTTTTCACCACAAACTATGTTAGCCATTTTATATGTGTTATCTTACATAATCATTATAACAAGCACCTCTTAGGGGTAGGTTATAGTATTATTTGCATTTTACATAAATGAAGCTTAGATTAAGAAAATTTGCCCAGATCACTCAGCTAAGAAATGTCCGAGTTGCGACAGGAACCTAGATCTTTCTGACTTCCTGTAGTACAGTTGGCTGATTTTAGAGCCTATGTCTAGAATCAGGTCTACTAGAATATGCCCAACATAGAATATCTGGATTTCTTAGGAAGTTATTGTCTACCTGCCTCCCCCTCCGCTTTGGGATTGTCCTTGGTTATTGTGACAAGAAACTTCCAGAGCTCTGACATGAGTTATTGTCCTGATATAGACCAGGACCAGTTCTGTCTTCTGAATTTTGGTGCTGATGCATACTTAATACAAATAGGCTTTGGGAAGGATAGAGATCAGTATGAAAGTAGGAGGGGGAGGGCAGCTTTCATATTTACATACAGGTCAGGATGTTTCCTACATACTGTCTCATGTAAAAGAACCTAAGCTGAGAGCCTCTCATCATTCTCCACATCCCTTGGGGAGATGTTTGCAGTTTCGGTTTCAGTACTGGCTGGGGATTATGCAGGGAGGGAGAATAAACAATTATGCCATCCCTCAGTGCACACAAACACACAGCCAGGAGCCGACTGCACTGTGGGTAAAATGATTCCAAAATTGTGTGTAATGAGTAGGAAAAGATTAGAGACAGCTCTTGCTATGCTGAAAATTGACATTAGTCGAAGGGAGAGAAAAAAAAAACTCTTTACTAGTCGGCCTAGGAGGTCTAATTCGAGCAGTAAAAATATAAATAAATAAAAGCATGTCAAGATGGTATTGGTGCTTTTTTCCAATGAGCTCTATCTGGCCGGAAGGCTATTCAGCATAATGCAAAATTAAATTATAAAAACTGGCTGAATATTTAGATGGAAGAGCTATGTGGAAGCAGTTTATTTAGACGAACCGGCAATGACCCACAACAGGGAGACATCAAGCGTGAAATTTACTAGAAATTAGCACCAGGGTCCCAGCCTCAGCATGAATAGCTTGATAGGATGCAAATCCCAGTGATATTAAGCTGCCTCACTGCTGGTGCTACAGCGTCACTCCGTTGGCTTTTCATGTTATCCTTATTATTTTTTCCTGGGACAGTTATAAATAACAATAAAAAAAAAGACATTTACTGAAAACTTCAACTGGAATGAAAGTCTATTTTAAAATCTCTGATTACTTGGATGTTAAAATACAGTGTCAGCTATCCTTAATGGCCTCATAAGAGACATTGTGTGTACGCAGCTTGTGTATGCCTGATGTTTACCTTCAGCGTCTAGCAGATAATCTAGCCCAAGCCAATAAGATCTGTTCCAGTTTCAAGAGTGTGAGGCACCGTGGAAACACCCTGCTCTCTTGTTTGGTACACATGGCTGCCACGGTTTAACCATGTTGTGTAACAATGAAGGCTCCAGGCTGGCTTGGTGCCTGGGTGCTGAGAACATGCTGGAAAGGCTGTGCGTGATCCCCATTCATGCAGATGTGCTTTGCCCAGAATGCTGGAAGGCTCCAAGCTCCCACCTCTCTGGTGAAGAACCTGTCAGTATTTTCCGTTCCCGGTTGCATTTCTCGGGGCCTAAGAATTGACAGTCAGTATATACATAGCTTTAAAATTCCCTAGACTGATTTTTAGCTTAAACTCTTGGGGATCCCTTCTTCCATGCCACTCTTGGCTGTGTTTCTGCTCTCTGTCTTAAGTGTGAAATTATTTCAGACAAATGTGTGTCAGATTGTTGCCTAGTGCTCAACCTGCCTTTCAGAATGTGTAGTTTGGGGCAGCTGCAGTTCAGTATTAGCATGCTGTTCATAGAGTTTGTTTATATTTGAATAGCCTTTGCTGCTTTTTGGGTGTTTTGATGGCCAGACTGTGGGTCTGTTGGTGTTCCATGTTTGACAGAGACATTACTTTCAGTCCCAAGCTTGTCAACTTTAATGAAACTTGATGCCCATTTTCTACTCACAGTCTTGGGCCATGAAGATATTTATTTGGGATAAGATCCAGACCCTTCACAAAGCTGGAAGTGTTATTGGTCCAATTTTTGACATTTTGGACCATACAAAAAATGTAGAACTATTCAGTCATTTGTGCAAGGCTCTTTTCTGACTTTCATTTTACTCAGCCACTGTATTAGATACTGGAAAAAACACTACCTCAGCCTCGTTCTCTCTTTCCTAGCAATAAAGATGATGACTTAAGAACGAGGTAGTGAAATGTGGGCTTCGAAGCCAGAAAGATCTGGGTTTAAGTCCTATCTCTGCCACTTACTTATTTAACTCAGCCTCGATTTTCTCACCTGTAACTTAGATATAATAATATGATGATGTTTTGATGATTAAATTATGTGTGTATGTGTATATATAATCATGCTGCCTGGTACAGAATAAGCTAGCCATAATAATGATGATGAAAACGAAGAACCAAAGTCGATTTCACAAAAATAAAAAATGCACACAAACTCAAACAAACCCAGACTGTTTGTATATACTATGAAATTGTTTTTTTTTTTAATTAAAAAATTAGATACATTTTAAATAAAATTCCTCCCTTTTTTGGAGTTAGATCTGATAGATATACAGAGAGAGATTTTGATGTAGATACATCTTTGAAGAGGCTGGAAACTTTGTCTTCATTTACTTCTAATTTATTTTTTTCTTTTTCAGGTAAAGTGGCTTTTTGGTGCTGTTTTCTTTTATTTTCTTCTTTTACCTGCACCTTCCATTTCTCCTCTGTGCATGGTACCATTGAGGGCCACTCCTTTCTGTGCCTTGTTCTGAGACTGTACTCCTGGCAGCACTGAAAAATGTACTGCTAATTACACAATGATTTTATTATGTAGCACTAGTTGAAATATCCACTAAAGAATTAATTTACTTAAAATAATTTGAACTGAGCAATTATTTTCATAACCACAGAATTAGCGTAAAGGGCTTAAAGTCCTTTATTCCCTGCTCTTCATACAGCAGTTGTGTACTTAGCAATAAATTTTTTTTGGTCTTTGCTTTCTTCCCAAAGGAATACATGTCTTCTCTCTGATCATATATACAGAGTATATGACCATACACATTCACATAGAGCAGGGAGTTTTTCCTGAGGTAACTTGGAATTTCTGAAGTCTTCACAGAATGACCAGATTTGGGGACTGGAGAAAGGCATATGTCTTGCAGTGCAGTATGCTCACTGATGGTTTGTATATAGAGCCATTTTTACTTTGGAGAAGGTGGCAGTTTAATTTGCCACTAACTACAATGAAAGCAATTTCTATCTGGTTTGCTCTTAACTTCCTGAAAAATGTTTCTTTGCTTTGAATTCCCAGAATTGATTTATTCCAAATTGAGATCCTCTTTTTGATAGGAAAGTTCGAACTCAGTTGAACCTGTTATTTGGTGTTTAGAAAGGATCCATTGTGGTTCCACTGAAGTACTCATTTAACATCTGGAAACACTGCCTAAAACTTTAGCAATGTTTAGACTTCACTAAGCTGGGAAATGGGAAGAAGTCCATAAAATGTTGGGAAATAAATAACTGACCCTGCTTCCCAAGGACACACTTTATTTATGCATCAGAGGTCCCTTTCCTTCAGGCTACTCCTGCCCTTGGGGAGATTACAAAGTGTACACTTTCACAGAATGAAGAAGTAGTAGCTCCTCTCTTTATGTGGCTGTATGATATTTCCAGTAAATACATGTATTTTTTCTCTCATTGATAGCCTGATAAAATGCAGCTGTTAAACAATTGTTTTTCTTTTTCATTATATTATTTCCAATATGCATAAGTGTTCATTCATTCTTCCAGCAGACCCTTATTGAGCACTAACTATGTTCCAGGCACTGGGCAGGACACTGGGCATAGAAAGATGAAAAATACAGTTTTTGAAGAATACATTTCCATTAGCAGCACATTTTAAGAGCTCATCATATGTTAAGTATCATGAGAGGAATTGAAAAGCTAGAATAGTTCCTTCTGTCAGAAAACTTAATGTAGTGGGAGAGATCACATATTGACATGAAAAATACTCAACGTTTGTAGAGCAAGTGTGAATTAATGTGGTGAAACCTGGGTTCAGAAATTCAGGGAGGATGTAAAACAGATGTGTAATCTGGAAGCCTTCTTATAGGGATGAGGATTGCACACTGTATCTTGTGAAAGGCAGCGCATTCCTCTTTTGCTCCCTTGTGCTTTTGAACATCCTCTGGGATGGCAAACCAGGACCTAGAGTGGCTGGAACCCCCAGACGTGTCACCTCTGGCCATGAGTAGCCACATCATGGAGGCACACTGTGCCATACCATTATTATTTTCTGTGTGTACCATGATGTTTGGAGGTACTGTTTTGGGAAGGGCAAGTTTCATGATTTCTAATTGTATCATTCTCTGCAGATATGTATGACCAAGTGCTAAAGTTTGGTGCTTACATCGTGGACGGCTTGCGTGAGTGTTCCCAGCCTGTGATGGTTTACATTCCTCCCCAGGCCGAGCTGCGGGGCGGCTCCTGGGTTGTGATTGACCCCACCATCAACCCCCGGCACATGGAGATGTATGCTGACCGAGAAAGCAGGTAGTGCTCCTTCCTTATTTCCATTTGCTGCCTCCAGAGACCTTCTCACAATTGGTTTCCTCCTGGAGAACATTATAACCAAAGGAACTTTATTTGAGTCTGTCCATTCCCAAAGGGCTCCAATGTCAGAAAAACAGGCTTTCTGAATAGTGTCTGCTGGCATAAGAAGGAAACTAGGCTGGAGTCAAGCTTTCTCAGTGTGATCCCCCCACCCCAGATTCTTTTACCATGAAGTTCTCTCTTCCAAGCACCTCCGGACTTCAAAGGGGTTCTCCCCTTCTTAACTTGTTTTTGAGATAGTCACTTTCTCTCTCTTAGGTATGTGGCAGAGGGAGCTTAAAGCAGTTGGAATGAAAGGATTGAACTGTTAGGCTGGAGCTCTAACAAAGTGTTCTTTATCCACCTTTGCCACTGACTAGCGAGAAACTTTAAGCAGTCCCTTACTCTCCCTGAGTTCCTTCTGCGTGTCTGTAAAATGAGCTGGATAGTCATTAAGGTACATTACAGCCCACCCATCTGTGATTTCAAACCAAAGCTTCTCCCTTCCCTAGGAGTCTAGTTTCTTACTCTGGGGCTCCAGGAGGCTTGCAGAGCTCAGTGTTTGCAGCACTCCAAGAACCAGAAGAGAGAATACTTAAAATACTTAAAACAGATCAAATCCAGTGTCCTTTCATAATCTCTTCTCAGGCCTTTAAGTAGATAAACTTCATGGCATATTTCCTTGACATTTTCCATGCTATTTCTTATATCCAACCATTTTATTAGAGCATTTGCTTCTCTCTTTTCCCAAAAATCTCAGCCTTTCACTCACTCCAAAAGCTGCTTAAGAGAGTCCAGTAGTTTGATGTCAATCACTAAGCTTGTGTTCTGTATGTAGGAATTTGCTTTTCATGAGTCCTAACCTAGCCTTGGGAGTCCCTGCATGGTGCAAATGGTAATGCGCTCAGCTGACAACTGAAATGTTGGAGGTTCAAGGAAGAAAGGCCTTCCAAAAAATCAGAAAACTCTATGGAGCGCAGTTCTACTCTGACAAACATGGGGTTGCCATGAATTGAAATCGACTTGATGGCAACTGGTTAACTGGTGATTAACCTAGCTTTGATCTGATGTTAGATCAGAGACAATTCCTCTGCAGACTTTGGAACCAGACTGGTTTCAAAATCCAGATCTGCCATTTATTAGACTTGTTTAACTTCCTGTACCTGTTTCCTCATCTGTAAAATGGGGGCAATAGTACCTTATCTTACAGGATTGTTGTAAGGATTTATATGTAAGCCCTTGGGATAGGACCACACACATATTAAGTATTAGCTATAATTATTTTTTTTTTAAATGTGTTTAGGGCAAGTTCCTGGTAGTATAACATCATTAATATGCACTAGAAGTCAGCCCTACACTTTTTACTTTGATCATTTCCATAGCAGCAGCCAGAATGTTTTACCTACAGCTTGGCCCTGCCCACTGTGTCTGATCAGAATCCTGCCAGCAGACTGACAGCTGTGGTTGTGATATAGGACTGACTGGCCTTGACCCCTAAGTGCTGGAGGTTGTTCCCTGCCCCTGTACCTACATCATCCCCAACCTACATCCCCTCCCTTGGAAAATAATGTAATTCCTGTCACCCTTGTCAGCTATAGGTGGTGGAATCTATATTCTTCTTCCATTGAGATGGAAGTAGACTGGTGTGGTAATGAGAATTATTTTCATTGCTTTTTGCCAGGCCTTTCTCATACCTCACATGGGTACTTCTTTGGTACCTGCTTCTCTCCTTTGGGTTACCGTGGTGAACCATGGGTGGGCAAAACCATAATGAATCTATTTCCTGTTCTGCAGATAGTAATTGGCTTCATTCTGTTGTCTCCTTCCTTTAAAGTGCCTCTGTTTCTGTTTTGTTTTCTTTATTTCTGATCCAGGGGATCGGTTCTGGAGCCAGAAGGGACAGTAGAAATCAAATTCCGCAAAAAGGATTTGGTGAAAACCATGCGTCGGGTGGACCCAGTCTACATCCGCTTGGCTGAGCGATTGGGTATGTCTGCTTGTCCTCCTGGCAAATCAATGAGCCATTCAGCTGATTCGTAATGAGTGCATTCATAGGCCAGGGGAGGAGGCACTGAAGCATTTGATCAAATTCATGATAATCTTTATTTACTGTCCTCTATATGGCAAGAATCCTGGTAGAATGAAATAGTGTGTGTAATAGGAGGGAAAGTGGGCCCTAAAAACAGCAAAAGTCACCCAGTTTTTCTTCTGGTATTTCCTTATAGTTCAAACAGCCTGTCTTTCTAGGCTTGTGGATGTCCTTATAAAGAATGATTAGCCAGAAGTTGCTATTGGGGGCAGCCTAATCAGGCAGAGAATAGGCTAGACATAAATGTGTCCTCTTTCTGCTTGTCCTTTTGGACCACCAGCCTTGTTTCTGAGGCCTGTGAGAGTTAGTGTCACAGGACAGAAAAGCTGGAGTCCCTGCCCAGGCAGTGCCCCGGGTGCATCCTGCGCTAGAGAAGTGGAAGTAAAGACTGTGCACTGTGTGCTTCCAGACAAAGGCTGTGGCAGCAGTAGCTCTGGGAGCATTCCTGCTCAATGCTTCCTGCCATTACACTGTTGCTCATTTGTTTTTGGAGCTTTTTGGAAGGCACTTGCCATATGAACATATGAGAAAACTGGGAGCCCTATGATGAGTCTGTAGTCTAGGTGAGTTTCAGATTCATTTAAAACACTGGTTTTCTTCCCAGGTTGATCCCCTTGCTATGTTAGCAAAGGTAATTGCTTGAGGTTCTTTTGTTTGTTGGTTTGTTTTGGTAGAGAGATTGACTTTCAGAGGTAGAGAAACTCAGTGAATGGGAGGAGTAAAAGGAGATATGCTAGCTCATTTATGGCACAAACAGTGATTTAATTAATAAAGTGCCATTTGTGAACTCTTTATATTCTCACCATTTAGAGATACGAAAAGCTTCTGAGGATTGCTTGCACCCTGGATACTGCACCCCTGCCATACATGGGGACTAGGGTTACAATAAACCCTGTTTGTGTCCCATTGTTTGCCATTAGGTAACAACCACCAATTACTCTAACCCACCACAGCCTGATCCTTTTATTGGAAATGCACACATGCAACAAGAAATTGGCAACATTGTTTCTAAAATCTATTGCCACCCAGAATTGTTGAGGTAGTTTTTTTTTTTTTTCTTTTTCTTTCTCTTTCTTCTCTGAACAGGATAATTACTTCTGACCAACCCCATACACTTTAATTAAAGTAACTGCAGCTCAAGAGCAAGTTACTTACAACTGTACATAGAGAGAGCTCTAAAAGCTTCAGCCACTGATAAGCATCTCACTTAGATGGCTCATAATTGCTCCCAGCATCCAGCGATCCTTGCTGCTGTTTGTGCCACTAATTCTGTACAAAGGCAGCAGTGCCACAATTGCAGGACACAGTGAATTGCATAATTTTCTTTTTTTTTTTTTTTCTGCTGGTTTTCTTTCTGGCCAATTTAAAATTTGTCAAAGTCGGTCTTCTTCTGGATCACTGCCCTTTGATATTTCTCGCACTCCATTTGCCACAAACAAGCCGCAGGGCTGCAGTTCATGCTGACTCCAGCAGAAGCAGAGAGAGCTCCATTTATCTTACACTGCCTGCTGAATTCCTACTCATTAACTGGAGGTTCACTGCCTCTTTTTAACCCCCCAATGCCTGTTATCATCCCTTCAGAGTAACTGGGTGGTGGGAAGAGGGATCCTCTCTGACATCTGTTTGCACAATGACTGGATGGTGAGGAGTGTGAGGTAAAGCTCCTTTCTCTTGAAGGACAGTGATATTGCTCCCACCTTCACCCAGCACCTTTTAACTTTTGAAGCACATGAAGGAGAGAGGGAGGAGATTCCCAAGTGATGGCCGTTTAATCATTTGTTACAAATCATCTCATTATCAATTTCCTATCCGCATTGAAGAAAACCATATTTATTTAACCTTGACCAAAATGGTACTAGAGAAAGAATCCTTAGTATGCTAAATGTGAAGCAGGCTCTGGCCCAAGGCAGCTTGGGAGCAAGAGCAGTGGATCTGGAATAACAATAACTCTGTATAAGTCTTGGTTATGTTGCTTGCAGGTAAATTGTTTAACTTCTCTGAACATCAGTTTCTTCATCTATACAGTGGAGATAACACCCCACAGAGCTGATGTGAGGATCAGATGAATATGTGTTTTTTGGATCTGTGAAGCATTTTTCAAACATAAGGATTGTCATCATTTCCTTGCAGTCTTAATCATTAGAAGAAGCAAATGGCCATGTTTGGTATCAGGCATTCTCTGTGGCTTAGGCTCACTGCTGGAGTTAGCAGTATAGGAAAGGAAATGCAAAAGAAACCGAAGAAATGCTCCTGTCTCTGAGGGAGTTTGCAGTCTTTCAGGGAGATCATACAGACCTAGTCACAATTGTAAAAACGGATCAGGGGTTCGCAGTTTATAATGAAACATACTGTGAGCCCCCAGACTGTCACTTTTGGCTTCTTTCACATGCTTTAGAACCAGAGTCAGACAAAGTGTTTTTTCACAAAATAGGTGAAAATGACCCCAATTTCCAGATTGGGAGATTGAGGCAAAAAGAAGGGTTAAAGGAATGATCCAAGATACAAATTAAAGGTACAGTGAGAGCTCAGAATGGAATTCTGGTTCCCTCTCTTCCACTTTTCCTCAGGATTTCCTCAGATTTCACCTCAGCTGAATACTGAGCCTGATCTAAATTAAACAAGAATCCTTTCCCTTTGTGATCCATAAGTCAGTCCACTGAGAAAAATCTGATCTAGGAGAAACCTATAGTAGTGAATATTATCTTGTCTTCCTGACCTCTTCCCAGGTCAGTCTCTGCACTGGGGAGATGCTCACAGATCACTGAGACAAACCAGTGCACAACTGAATGACTGGGTTTAAAATCCAAATTACTGTTTAGTCACCAGGGGTAATGAGGAATATCTAATTTCTGAACAGCTAACTTCATCTCCTTTTTAGAATTTTGATTTTTTTTAAATGGCCCTTTGTCAATTATATGGTTAGTTTGGGTAGGAAGGTTGTGAATTACTAGTTTGCAGTTCTGTGATTATAGAGCATAAAAATAGTGGATACACTGATTCCTAATAGAGAAAAAGGGAAGAATTACCCTAGAAGGAGAAGTGAACTAAGCCCAGATTCCAAAGTCTTGCAAAGCCAGGCCAGTTCTGACCCTGGATTCTCAGAACGGGTGCTTGGTAGAGTCAGTGCAGAGAGGATTACATCCTACCATTCTGGTTGGCTTAAGGAAATTGGTTCCTTCTCTGGAAATAGAGTCCCAGCCCTTCAAGACCTTTTCTGTCTCTGACATCCTTCTACCACATCCCAGATCTAAGCACATGGAGAGTGGCTGGGGAGCGAATGGCCTTCCTAGCCGGGCCTCTTGAGTACTATGACCTCAGGTCTTCTCCTGCATTCTTACCTCCTCTCGTGTTGAGTGTGAAATGACAAATCAATTTAGATAACTGTCCAGCCCCAGTGTGAAGCAGCTGTAAGTTCCCCACTGTTCCTCTCAATACAAAGAGCACCTGGGCAAAGGAGCTACTTAGTGGAACTTCATTCTGTTCAGAGCAGACACACCTTGGTCATGACCCTGTTCCCAGACAGCCGGGCAGCCTGCCACCCAGCACTTGGCGGTGCCCACATAGAACGTGCCCTGGGAGCACAGGCAGCCGCAGCACTAGCTGAGCTGCTACGGGCCCTCAGCTGGTCCTTCCAGTCCTGCCCAGCACTCTGCCTGCCTGCTGGCCCAAGGTGCCCCCAGATACAAGTAAGAGTTTGTGGCTGTGGATGAGAATAAATGTCTGAAAATCTTTGAAAATGTCTTCTTCCCAAGCCTTCTCTTTAGCAGTTAGGATGACAGGAAATGGACTGTTCCTTGGGTTAAAGGGACTCAGGTTAAACTGTTTTTCTGGTAGAGGTGAGCGGAGTATCTGAGCTGTATGTGTTTTCCATCTCTTTTGTGTCCATCTTCAAGATGTTGTATGCTGAAAAGAGCCAAAGTGGCTTGTTTGAGGCAGAAAGCAGGGTCCTTGCCTGGAAAGTTGAGGCTAGGAAAGAAAAACATTCCAATACCCACCCCGAGGAAGTAGCATCTCTATACAGAGTGTCCCTCACTGGCAGTGTGGCCACCAAGCATTGGGCTCTCTGGTAGGTAGGCTGATGAGAAACAACATACATTTTATATCATGAAGGTAGATATGATGAGATCTTGCCTTTGCCCTTAATTAAGTTAGCAACAGCTTAAAACCCACCTCATCACATTGAGAAGCTGTTCGGCTTGATGCAGTTGGAGTGCAATAGTGACAACATTTTTTTGGGAAGAAGGGGTCCTTTTAGTCTGATCCATTAATCTGATGGTATTTATAAAAGCACCGGGGCTTGTCTCTTCCAGGAAGCAGTGATTCACCATTCTGTTAGGCCGGAAGAACCTGGTGGGCACTTTGTTAGAGTGGACCCGAGCTTTTGCCTGCCTGAAGGCTGTCATCAGAATACGTCTGAGAACCTGTCGTCTTCCCCACTTGGCCCCAGCTGACCCAGATTCTTGGCCCTCAAACTGCCAGACTCAGGGAGAGCTAATTAGGGAAAGAATAGCCTGCTGCGGCACAGCACCACCAGAATTTAGAAAATCCTGTGCTGTTTCCTGACTCGTGTATGTTTGTATGTGGGCACAGGAGACAGGGCTGCAGGGGAATAATGTTTCGTTGTACTTTTATTTGGAAATCTGTTTTTAACTCTGACTTTTAAAAATGTGAATAGGAGAGCACTAACACCACTGCAAGAACTTTAGGGTTAAACATCCCTTGAGAGGATTGCTATTAAAATCAGTATGCAAATGCAGTTGTATTTAGATAGGTATGGCCCGCTTTGAAGAAAAGCAGATATATGAAAACGGGATTTTAAAAAAAACTAGATACATTGGGAGAAATTATTCCCGTTACAAAAGGATTATTTGCTTTACCAAAGGATTCATTGCAGGGTT